ATCTATGGGGATAACTACCTTGGCACGACACCGCCATTTTGTTTGTATCTCAGTGCCGCTTCGGAGCAGACCGACCCGGGACCACAACTCTCGTATTTCAGAACTTTTTAAAACTCATTTTTAAAACAATCAACTGGTAATTAACGCTTTACACTCTGTTGATGTGTAATTTGCTATAAGTACCCGGTAAGGCTGTAGAAAGAGCGTTCTCCCGTAATGACGGTTTAAACAGCCATCTTAACATTTAGCTGGAGTTCTCGGCCTGTTTGATGTAGCATTTGCTAACAGAAATACGGCTTCACCAACTGGGTAGTATTAGGAAAATTCTGCTATTTATCTTTGATGCTTTTTTTGTGGATTTTCATCAACAAAGAGTCGATATTAGTTTGTAATCTTGTATATTTCTACCATCGCGTGGATCGGTCGTAGCTCGCTCCAGTTAGCTTTAAGCTGTTTTATTCTGCTTATAGTAAGTATGTCACCGTTTCCTTCACTTTTTCTGTTGTTAAACTTGTGTTATTTGCACCAAATGTGGGCGGCGGTGGCTCGGCTGGCCTCTCCATGTATCCCAGCCTCAAAGGCCGAAAGATTGAAGCATATATTCCCTCCTGATGGGAGGGAAGCACCGTTAGCCTGCTATCAGTGGTCCGTGGGTGGGTAAACACGCAGTGGGTTTATGTGGGAAGAGTTCCTATTGGTCAGAAGATTCATGATAATTTCTTCAGTTTGCTTGGAGCTGTTTTTCCACTCAGGGATTTATCCGGAGATCAGAACCAGTGCAAATGAATGCCATTATTAACAGGAAACCACCAAACTAAACTCACCTGGAGGGAATGGGAGCTTTTTAATGATTCATTAACTCCCAGGAGAAATAACCAGAAAGGATAAATGGTTTGATCTCTGGAAGGATGGGCCAAAATTAAAGCGGTGAACAGCTCCAAATACTGGACCTAATAGTTGTCTTTCCAGAAATGGGAAACATGAAGCTGTGACTGTAATCAGATGGAAACAGTGGAACAAGTTTTATTACTATGTAATAAGTATTCATTCATATTAAATAGAGAGAAAATAGGATTTTCTTTGATAAATCTTTTAGTAAGTAAATCAAATTCTGTTAGGAATCAATTCATTACAAACACTGGATTATTTAATCTCATTTAAGGTATGTGTATAAGTGAGTGTATGCATGTGCATATACACACATACTGTGAGTATATATGGCTATAGATTAATAGATAACATGCATACTATTGAGGTTTTATTATTAAATTCCCTCTGACATCATTCACCTTACTCCAGTCTGGTAGGTGGCAGTAAATGCACCTTAAGTTGGCTGCAATCCACCAATAAAAACAAAAGAAGAAGAGCCCTTATGGTAAAATGTGGCTTCCTGCTTTTAAGGCAACATGAGCTGTAACCCTGCTGTGTGTCCATGATGAAATGTTCCTGCTGTCTCTCTCTCTCTCTCTCATTAACCCTCTTCAGTTCCTTGGCGAGTGTTTTTCATTTCTAGGTTAAATGGGAGGGACCGACCTCTGGATGTGGATAGTCTGTCCCCGTCAGAAAGCATAGCCAGAAGATTTTTTTTCCCCCCATTTT